TACGCAGCTAATAAGTGTTAATAAGAAAAAAATAAGAAAAACGCAAAATTTAACTAAAAGAAAATCATAAAAATGTCAATGTCTCTGTCTTTCCTTAAAATTTCACGAAAATATAGTTGCCTCAGTTTTTCTTTTTTTTTGACATGTAATTGCTCAATCCTGATTGGTCACTCTTCGACCTTGAGGCCCCAAACCCAATCAGAAGCGAGTATTTCACTCACCTTTTTCAAAGCCAGCCCGATGTAATTACACAAATCGACGATTTTCCACGACCACTTGATCGACGTCCTACTCAGCCTCTTCAGCCTCTGGAAGATGACCTCAATGCCCCCTTTGTCCTCCCGATCTGCGACAAACGTCCGATAACCGGAATTAGATTTATTAACTCGCGATAAATTATGAACAATGGTGAAATTCTTCGACCGATGAGTTTTAGGCGAAACGACCTTTCGGCCCCTTTGAGGATTTAAAAGCGTTTGTTGATCCGTCGTGTCCACCGGCGTCGATTGATACACAAAATTCGAAATTTTATCGATTTTGACAACGTCAACGTCACTTTTGACATTATTCGGACTCTCCTTGATGGGGGAATCCTTCATGATGTTGGCGATGGGCGTCGAAGCCAAATTGTTGTAAAGTCGAGGCGTGAAAAACGATATTTCGCCCAAACTCGGCTCCTTAACAAATTTCACCTCCGAGTTTTGCGCATAGGGATTTAAATTAACGTTAGAACCCAAATAATGTATTTTACTTTTGTCCGGGGGGCCTTGGGGGGGCTTAATCTGCGCGACAAAGTCTTCAATTAGGGAAAATTGACTCAATTTCGGCGTCTCGGTGATCGACTGATTCGAGTCCAAATTCACACTCTGCGTGCTTCCACCTGGGGCTGTTTTGCTCTCCTGGGGCGGCGTCCCTTGATTTATATAACTCGAATCGAACAAAATATTCAAATTTGTCACGTTTAACGTCCTGTTCAAGCTGTTCCGACGTCGATTTGAGCGACTTTTCTTGTTCACGGGGGTGCTTTTGATGGAGGAACTAGGGGGCTGGCGGGGGGTGCATTTGGGGGTTGTAACGGGGTTAAAGCCCGTATTGTCGTCATTGAAGACCAGGGTTTCCTCCATCTCGTCATTTTCATTGTGTTTAATGAAGTTTTTCCCACTTTTCTTGCGTCGAACCATTTGGGTTTTCTTCTAACCGTCACTTATGTCAAACTTCAATTTTCATGGTGGAAATTGACGAATTTCACACGGAAAACACTACGATTTCGGTAATTAAGACATTACTCGATGAATTTTGAGTGAAAACACGACGGGGAAAACACACACGTGAATTTTAGAGCACCCAAGCTTCGAATCTGGAAAATTGAAGTTTCAAATGTAGGGAATTTTCATTTCACACCAGATTTTACAAAAACCAAACAAACGTCTAATTTAATAATTTAAACGGCAAATGTTACAACTAAGGTTTACAATAATTATAACAACAATTAATTTCAATATTTAATCCTTGAATTTAATTAATCGGTTTCAACGATATAAATTTTACAGTGGACCAATAAAATGTTGCACTGTAAACACAACCGTCCAGCTAAGTTAACACAGTAGAAAGTGATTAAAAATAATAAAATAAAATAAACACCTAAAAAACATTTTTTTTAACAAAAATTAAATTTAAAATACGAGTACACAATTTTTTTGCAGAAAGGGTATATTTCTAAATTTTTATTTTCTTTTATAGTTTATAAAACAATAAAACTTAAGAAAAACATATTATTTGTTTAATTTTTTACTCAATAACGTTTTAATACAGTATTATAGCATAATTAACGTATTTTTTTACAAAACAGTAATGCAATTAGTGTTAGGCAACCAACTATACACACGCAAAAAAACATTTTTGGAACCTAAAACAACATCAGATTATACAAACAAACGTTAAATTCAATATTTAAGCAACAAATATTACAATTAAAATCTTCAATAATTTTTAATTTTATTAATTAAACTATGAATTTAATTAATTGGTTACAATAGTGGAACAGTGGACCAGTAAAATGTTGCACTTGTAACACAACCGCTCAGCTAAGTTTACACAGTAAAAAGTATTTAAAAATAATAAAATTAAAATAAACTGAAAAACAATATTTTAAATAACAAATTAAATTTTATTGTGTAAAATAGTTTTTGTTAAAATGCATACAATTTTTTTGCAGATAAAATATTAATTTTAAATAAATTTATTTTGAAATTATACAAAACAATAAAACGTAAAAGAAATATTTTTCGATTGATCTAGTTTTTTATCTAATAGAATTGTAATATAAAATTATTGTAGTGTAAATAAATTATTCAAAACATAACAAAATTGCTGTTAGTGGTAGGCAACCAAATATACACACCAAAATAAAAAAATTGATTACTAAAATAGCACCAGCTTACGTAAAATTGTAATTTAAATGACAAATCTTACAATTGGAGTTTACAACAAAATTTAATTTTAATACTTAAACCTTGAATTTAATGATTGGTTATGACAGTTGTATAAATCTTACAGTGGACCAAAAGAAGGTTGCTTTGGTAACACAACCGCTCAGCTAAGTTCACCCAATAAAAAATGATTAAAAATAATAGAACAAAATGAAACACAGAAAAACAGTATTTTTAAAAAAATTACAAGTGGTTGAATTATTTGTTATGTAATACTTAATTGTTTCGCAGAAAAAAAATAGTTTTTAATATTTTTTTTTGTTTAATAATTAAAGTTTATAATAAGAAACTCAATCAAAACGGGAGTATAATGTTGTTTAGCTAATTGTTTATTTGATAAATTTTTAATACAAGATTATAGCATAATTAAAGTAGTTAACACAAAATAATGCCATTAGTGGTAGGCAACTAACTATACACCGCGACATTTAACATTTAATAATTATTAAAAAATATTGTGAGAAAATGAGACATTGAGAATCTTGTTGTCATTTTATTTGATAAAGCCTTAATGCAGCTTGTGAGACAAGATGTCTCTTTATTCGCCGACGTAGCTCAAACAGTCCAAAAATGTTTTTTCAGTCCTTTTTGTAAAGCAGTTTCTATTTATGAGAACTTCAAGAGGAATGTCATAGAGTTTTGCCTGATTTGACTGTCTAGCTTGAATTGTTTTAAGCATTATCATTCTCATTGCGTGTACACAAGCCCGGTATGCTCCTATAGATGATAGAAATAAGTGCCGATCCTTCCTTGCAGCACCTGCTGCTTTTGCCGCCAAAAAATCGTCATTTTCAGGCTTACAGGCATTTTTTATTACAGTCGCCAAATCAGGTCTAGAAAAAACAAACTAAACAAAATAAACCAAAATATAAAAATAAGAAATTGGATATTTACGTGAGCAAAAGTAACAATTGCAACAAACGCGAGAAACTGCATTTTGCTAATAATTTCACAAAATAGTTACGCATTTTATATAAAACGAAAAACAATAACAACACATTAACAAGTTAACAATACACAAAACAATAAGCAATAATAACAAGCAAAACTATCAACAAAAAATTGTTGAAATTGACAAAATATTTTGTTGTAGGCCAGCAACTGTACACATAAAAAGTAAAAATAGCAAACAGAACATTTTATTTAATAAAAGTTTTTTTTATTGGCTTGCGACACCTAAGCATTACTTTTGTTAGTATTTGCATATTTTTATTTTTATTTAAATTGTAATTTTCGGCTAAAGTATTTTGAAAATAATATTGTCTTAATTGAGTATAAATTTTTGTTTTGATTAACAGTTTCTTTTAATAAATTAATATTTGTGGCCAGAAAATGACTTTTTTTATATTATATGAAATTAAAGTGCTTTCTAACGGTACCACAAACAAAAGAATTATTATACAGGGTGTCTCAGCGAGTTGAGAAAGTCCAGTACTGATCTTTAAATCTTAAAATTTTAAAAGATGTTTTTAGGAAATTAATAAATAGTAATCTAGTGCATCACTTAAAATTATTTTCAACCATACAGCATGTTCCAAAAATATGTTACTTGTGTTTTTTTTAATGAAACACCTTAAGTTTCTCCGCATTTTGAGATGTAGACTTTTAGGAAATAGTATATTACATAACGAGCACGGAAAGAGATAAATAACGCACAAGCGGGAAAGTTGCAGGCAATACCGCGAGTGTGTTAGACGCTTTCCTGCAAGTTTTGTACACTATTTTTCCTACGACCATAAATAATTTTTTTCTTACGAACATTTTTATTTTTTATAATGGATACAAAAAAAAATACGTTAAATGAAAAAATACAAAACATTCGAGTTGAATTGTGCGTTAGATTTCTAATACACATGCGAAAACAAATCGCACAGATTTTCGACCTAGTCGATTTAGCTTAGTTTTAAAAATAAAAAGGTTTTTTTTGACGAAAACATGCACTTTTTAAAAATGTATTACACAAAAACTAAGACAGGTAGAACAAATTTTTTCTTACTTCTGCAAAGAAGAAAGTACAGAATTTAAAGCTGTAGCAATTATTTAGTGTTTTGGATTTGTAAAGATTAATAAATTAAGAAGTTTGTTAAAAGTTAAATAACTTAAAAATTTAAATGGAACACCCTATTTTTTGCATCTAATAGATTGAATTCGAATTATTTTATTGTAAAAATAAAAAATAATGGATTCAGTTTAACACAAATGTGATTATTAAGTGATATTTCTTTCATCTCTTGTGCAACAGTGCACTTTTTGGCTACTGAAACAATAGTAATTATTTTTTTTTAATGTTTAAAGTTAAATATYTTTTTAGTTATTGATTMTAAACACCTAAAAGTAAATAATTTTWGAAAGACAATTTAATAATCTTTTAAATGCAAAAACAATAAATAGGGTGTTCCATTWAAWTTTTTTAAGTTATTGAATTTTTACAAACGCCTTCATTTTTTTATATTCGCAAATGCAACACACTAAAAAAATGTTACAACCTTATAGCTTGTACCTTCTTCTTTACGGTAGTAAAAAAATATTTCTAGATGTCTTAGTTTTTGTGTTAATAAATTTTTAAAAAGTGCATGTTTTTGTCAAAAAACCGTCTTATTTTTGAAACTAAGCAAAATCGACCGATAAAAGTTAAAAAAAAAACATTGTCATAAAAATCTACATTCAAAAACTCTAAGAAACATATGGTGTCCCACTTAAAAAAACACAAGTTTGTACTTATTTTTGAGACACGCTGTATAGTTAAAAATAATTTTAGGCGATGAACTAGATTAGAATCTATCAATATCCTATATATTTTTTTAAATTTTACTTTTTAAAGGTCCCTAATGGATTGTATAATAGTTCCAGAGTGATTGATTAGTTGAGTGCCAAAAGTTAAAAAATAAAAAAAATTAAAATTAAACCTCAGAAAATGATAAAACGTTGAAGAATTGTAAATAATAATTCTTTTTGTATTAAATACATCAGAGACACTGGCCGAGGGTGTGGTGGCTTAGCGGTCGGTTTGTATCTCGGTAAAGTCTGTAATTTTTTTTAATGCAAATTAAATTAAATCAGTGTTTTAAAGACTTGCAAATAGGTATAGTAGTGAAATATAGGACTTTACTATTGCGATTTATTTACATTTTATTTGACAGACCTTAATAATGTAGCACACGATACATTATGTCTCTTTATTTCGTAGAGTATCTCAAGCATTCCATAAAATCTCTTTCTTCTTCTTTTTGAAAGCAATCTTTGTTGATAAGCACTTCAAGAGGGAGGTCGTAAAGTTTGCCCCGATTTGATTGTCTAACTTTAATTGTCTGAAGCATTAGCATTCTCAGGGCCTGTATACATGCTGTATATGCATTAAGGTCTGGTTCATGTAATAAACCGGGAACCATCTTTGCCTCCGTTTTTTCTGCCTTACAAGCTTTATTGAATACCTCGACCAGGTCAGGTCTAGAATAAATAAACTGAAGAAAAATTAAACAACAAAATAAAAAATTATGCTTACGTGAGGAAACGCAAAAATTGCAACAAACGTGAAAAAGTGCATTTTGCTAATGATTTCAGAAAATGGTTTCTCGTTTTATATTACACCAAAAACAATAAGAATAACAATAACACAGATAAAAGCACTAATTGGGGTATTACCAGATTAAAAATGTCAACAACGTACACTAAAATTTTGTGTTTAAAAAATGAGTAATGAGTTTTTCGTGCGATTTAAAACAAAAATTTCCAAAAATTTCGTCAATAATGAGCATTATTTTTAACTATTTTAAGCCTTAACACGTTTTTCGGTTAAAAACGTAATTACCTTTCAAAATTTTGTCAAAATTTTTTGAGATACCTTTCTAGAAATTGCTGAAGCAATAAAAGAGTCAAGACTGATAAATGGCAATAAACTCAGGGTAAAAGTAAAAACGCTTAGGCGCATAAATAGAATTTTTACTCCATACTTGAAAAAAAAACTTTTACTTGTATAAAAGTAGTCACTTTTGTGACGTTTACGGATAAAATTAATTTCTTAGGTGAAAAGTGACATTTTTTTACATTTTTAAGGTTTTAGCGTCGGATTCATTATAAGAACCGTAATTATTTCGCTTAAAATTAAAAAAAGTAAGACAAAAAACACTAAAATAGGTCAAAAATTATATTATTTGTGCCTTTTACGAGCGTGTTAAAATGTTCCTAAGTTAAAAATTAAGTTTTTTTGCAAGATTTTGTTAAATTAGACCGAAAAATCAAAAGATGGCAAGGTTATTACCCATTTCAAACGTTTTTCTAGCAAAATACACAGTGTTTCAAAAATAAGCCGAAAAGTTTTATTCGATAAAAAATTGTGTATTTTTTTCTTTTTCGAACGTATTAAAACGTTTTTCAGTTAGAAATTTAATAATCTGATAATATTTTGGTTTTTCAGTCAGAAACTCTATCATTTCTCGACATTTGTTTACAAATAAGCCAAAAAAAAAAACACTAAATTAAGTCAAACATACAAATATTTGTGATTTTTTGCGTTTAGGTATACGTTTTTAAATCAAAACTGCTTAAAATATCATCAATTTAGGTTAAAGCCATTCTTTTTGCTTTTTTCTAAAGTTTTAACAAGTTTCTTCGGCCAAAATTTTGTCAGAAAAAATTGTAATAATGTGCTGTTGCTTTTTTCCAGCGTTTTAGTATGTATTTCAGCTAGAAACGTAAGGATTTTGCATAATTTTTTCAAAAATAATTCTAAAAACACAAATTTGATCAAAAATGTAGTAATTTCTGCTTTTTGTCAAATATGCAACTACGTTTTTGAGCCATTTACTTTGTTTATTTTTGTAGTTGGCTAAAAAATTAAGTTTTTTGCAAGATTTTGGATTTTGTTAAATTAGACCAAAAAATCAAAAGATTAGTTTGAAAGTGGCAATGTTTTTACCACTTTTAAACGTTTTTTTAGCAAAAAACACAGTATTTCAAAAAATAAGCAAAAAGGTTATTTTATTTGATGAAAAATTGTGTAATTTTTTTCTTTTTCGAACGTATTAAAACGTTTTTGAGTCAGAAATTTAATAATCTGACAGTTTTGGTTTTTCAGTCAGAAACGCAATTATTTTACAAAATTTTGTCAAAAATAGATCAAAATTTTTAAGCAATTAGGTTCGTTTTAAGTAAAAAATTTTACAAGATTTTGATTAACCACAAAAATCATTAAATTGTAATTTGTTGTTGCATTTTTCGAGCGTCTTAGTACATATCTCAGCTAGAAACGTATTTTGCACAATTTTTTCAAAAATAAGTCTAAAAACACAAATATGATCAAAAATTTCTGCTTTTTTTTCAAATACATATGTAACTGCGTCTTTGAGCCATTTACTTGTTTTACTTTTGTAGTTTTTTAAAAGTCAAAAATCACCAAATTATGTTAAAAAATGACGTAATTTGATCAGTTTCACTTGATTTAAGTCGTTTTTGACCTAGGATTAGTCTATACAAGTCAAAAATTATCATATAAAATCGAAATGTAAATTAATAGAGCAATTTTATTAAGGAATTGAACATAATTTAGGATATTATCTTTTGATATAAAAAAGAAAACAGATCTAATAAGTGATAACAAAGATATTAACTCTTACTTGTGACATTTAATAATAAAAGTGTGGTTAATTTTGTGACGTTTGCAGACAAAATTTCATTTTAACAAATAAGATTAAGCTCAAAAATTTTGAGTTTGATACCAACTTGAAGTAAAAAAATCACAATCATTTACAGTCACCCGGTAGTAGTACTTTTGATTTATTTATTTACACAAAAAGTGTGTGTTTAGAAATAGAAGCAATAGAAAGAGAAGAATATATTTCTCCTTTAATAAAGCAAAATAAAATGAATAATAATA